GCAGCTCCAGGGCGGTGCCAGCGTCTCCTTGATCCTGCCCTCGAGCGGCTCCACTGGGCTGCCGAAGGGTGTCATGATCTCTCACGACAACCTACGGGAAGCTGGGGCAGGGCTGGGGGAGGGGTGGGATTCAAATTCTTGAGCATTCCTTCGCCTTCTCCTGCCTCGCCATTTCACCCCCTCCATATAATCGCCTCCTTATTGCGGCTTTAGAGGAGAGGGGGGGGGTGCAGAGAGAGACAGGGGAGGGAGACCGCGAGAGACAGAGACAGCTATTATCAATGCGTCACGGAGTGCAGCAGGGGCGAAAAATGTTGCAGGCGCCGATATTTATAGCACACAGGGGGTGGGGGTTCAAGTTCAAACGCCCCTCCCATTCATGGCTCTTCTAAAGCAACCAGGTCAGAGAGAGGTCTGATGAGTCACAAACCCTGATAAACGTTGTGTACCAAACAGAAAACAGTGCGATTGGAAAAATGGCTAGAATGTTTCAACGACTCGAACCTTTGCTAAGATATCATGGAGGTCTCACCTAGAGCCCACAACATGACACCACTCCAAGAGCACGTGGTTGCTGATCACTTCCTGGTTGTTTTTGCGATCGCGTGTGCGTGCGTGTCTGTGAGTGCGCGCGCGGGCGCGGGCGCCCTGACAGTCATGACCCGTCTGGGGCAGTAGCCTATCACTATCAACAAGGCGATTCATAAAAATTATCTTTGTAAAATGGACGTAAAAAGAGAAAGGGAGTTGAACTTGGCGCTCTCGTGTTTATATCCCTTATCAGCAAGTCCAACCACCACCCCCCCCTTCCCCCTTTCCGTCTGGCTACTCCAAGCAGCGGACAAGCGGACATCCAGTTGTTTACAACCAAACGTTAAAATTTTAATACCGTATAAATGCACCACTCTGACGTGCGTATGCCTGCCACTTCAAAAAGAAGCGCACCCCTATTCTTCTTACCTTTATCAGTCGAGGCCGTGGTCACTCCGAACGTTTGAACTGTCCCGCCTATCGCGACCCACCTGCCTTCTCCATCGGTAGGGCATTACGCACGTGACCTCACCGACTGCGTCCGCAGAACTGTAGGGTTGCCTCTTTCTCTTACCTTCCGCCGCCTCCGCTGTGGGTCCGAGAGAGGCGCTAGTCATCACGTGGCTTTTTCCGGAGGCGCCCCTCAAGTCGTCTGGTCCGCCTGATCGGCCTGATCTCCGCTGCTGCTGCCGCTACCAGGGCCACCAGAACGGCAGTCGACGCGCAGGGCCAGCACGGAGCACATCGCCCACCCACCGGCCGCACACACCGCCCGGCCCCGACCCGCAGTTCACTTCGTTAGACGATCCGTGAACATCGAACGTGCAGCACCATGGGCAGCTCCTCCTCCAAGAACGGCGGCGGCCAGGCCAAACCGGTGCCCGTCGTGGAAGTGACGTGGTGCACCGTGCACGAGTATGTGGCGGCGCGCATCCAGGAGCACGGCGACAAGGTGGCACAGGTGAGCGGTGAGGAGGGTGCGGAGCAGGTCGGCTCGTCTTTGTTTTCGAGTCATTATGTATTGTCGGGCTGCTTGTGCGAACTTTTAAATCTAAACTTTGCGAAAGGGGTTGCGCGCTGTGGCTCTTACTGGTTTTGTTAACGCGAACTGGTCGCTGCAGGTGGACGCCGCGACTGGGGAGACTGTAACGTTCGCCGCCATCCTGGAGCGGTCGGCCGCCCTGGCGGCCGGGCTGGTTGCGCGCGGGCTGCGCCCGGGAGCGACGACACTCGTCATCGGCGAGAACAGCGTGCACTACCCGTGGGTGCTGCTCGGGGTGCTACGCGCGGGCGGCACGGCGCACCTCATCGACCCGCGCAGCACGGCCCGCGAGGTGGAGCACGCCGTCGGCATCTCCAAGCCGAGCCTGGCGCTCGTGTCGGCTGCCGTGTCCAAGGAGCGCGACGTCACCCGTGTGCTCAGGAACACCGTCGGGAGCGTGCTGGTTTGGGGAGCCAATGGGGACCAAGGCCAGGACGACCAGGACCTCCCCGAAGGCATCGCCTCGCTGGAGCGCCTGCTCGTCAGCCCCGCCAAGTCGGCCGCGTCGGTGCCGTGCTCGCCGGTTAGCGAGGCCAAGACGCCCACGGGCCCGAGCGCCGCGGACGGCGTGCACGTCGAGGGCGCGTCGGTGCTCACCGTCAAGGACGTCCTGACGCCGGGACTCAGGATTCCAGTGGCGCCCCCACCGACGCCCACCTCCCTGAGCGCCACGTATGGGTAAGTAGTTGGTGGCAACGCCGTGTTTTGGCCTGATGCGTCCTACGTTTCTCCCTGTTTTGCCCGACTCATGAGCCCTGACGCTTGCCCCGACAGCGACAGCTGTTCGCCGTCCTCCGTGACCTCCCCCCTACAGTCGATCCTCCCTACGGCCGTGGAAGGCGTGCCTCGGGCGGATGGTAAGAGCGTTCCGCAGCTCCAGGGCGGTGCCAGCGTCTCCTTGATCCTGCCCTCGAGCGGCTCCACTGGGCTGCCGAAGGGTGTCATGATCTCTCACGACAACCTACTAGCGGCGCTCGAGCTCGGGTGAGTCAACCAGACTTGAGGCTCGTGCATTCTTCTGAGTGAACTATCCTGAATAAAATGTTCTTCGACAGGCCCATCTTCATCAAGGACAAAGACGTGGTCGCGGGACTGTCGCCGTACTTCCACGCGTACGGCGGCGTCTTGATGCTCATGGCGCTGTGCGCCGGGGTGCCCATGGTTGCCATCAGCCGCTTCAGCATGAGCGCCCTTCTCGGCGCTGTCAAGGAGCACAAGATCACGGTGAGCGAACACTCAAAGGATTTCTTTCCGGCGCAGCCATGGTCATCCCCATCCCAGACAAGCTGAATTCATAGTTTTCATATAATTTTAACTATGTACCCTTATTCATTCATCAAATAAGAGTGCATTGCTCTCTTGACGCCCCCCCCCCCCCCTCAATACTTTGTCTCTCGGATTTCAATATTTCCCGATCGCGCCGCAGGTGATGCATGTGGTGTCCTCACTCCTCGTCTCCCTGGGCAAGCTGCCCGTTGAGGCCTTGGCCGAGCTGTCCTCGCTGGAGCGCTTGTGGTCCGGGGCAGCGCAGGTGTCGCCGTTGGTGCAGAGCGCGCTCCATTCTCGTCTCCCCGGCGTCTCGCTGCACCACTCGTACGGCATGACGGAGACCACCTTCACGACCTTCTGTGGTGAGGTGCGCGCCGACAAGCCCGGATCACCCGGCACTCTCGTGAAGGCCATGGAGTGCAAGGTGAGTAGTTTTACTTTTGGTAGGGACGCTGAAACAATTGACTCCTTCAATATTACGAAGCCGGTGCATCAAATCCGTGTCGGTTGGGATCGAAAAGTCTCTGCACTCTGACAGATTATTTATTCTTGACTGGAGTTTTGTTTTCCTCTTTCTACAAAAATCCCCTTTTCTGATAAGGTTGTCGACCCGGAGTCCAACAAGCCGCTGGCCATGGGGGCGCGCGGTGAGCTGTGCTTCAAAGGCCCCATGGTGACCCGGGGTTATCTCGCCAACGCGGAGGCCACCGCCGAGGCCTTCGACGCGGACGGCTGGCTGCGTTCCGGTGACCTGGGCTACGTGGACGAGGATGGCTACTTCTACGTGGTGGAGCGACTCAAGGATGTCCTTAAGTACAACGGGCACCAGGTGTCGCCCTCTGAGCTGGAGGCGCTGCTCATCACGCACCCGGCCGTGTGCGAGGCGGCCGTCATCGGCGAGCCCCACGAGTACGGCGAGGCGCCGCGCGCCCTGGTGCGGGTGGCCGACGGACATCGCGTCACTGAGGAGGAGCTTTGCCAGTTCATATCGGGTGAGAATGTGCTCAAGTTCCGCAACTCGTGCGTTGGAGTCTCTAGCTGTTTGATTCTGTGGATCTGACTGCTCCTCTTTCCCCGCAGGCAAGGTGGCACCGCACAAGCAGTTGCGGGGCGGCATCACCTTCATGTCTGTGCCGTTCCCCCGTACGGCCAGCGGCAAGCTGCAGCGCAAGAAGCTCCGCGCCCTCCTCCAGGACGCTGACGACTCTTTCAACTCGTCCGCGTGCTCGGACCCTTCCTCGCCGACAGCCGCCCCGGCCCCGGTAGAGTTGCCGGTTGCAGAGCAACCGCAGCCCGCCTCGTCGGTGGAGGCGCCGGCCCCAGAGGCGCCGGTCCCGGTCCAGGTCACGGCCGCGGCGCCCCAGGACGCCACCCCGTCGGAGCGGCTGATCGCTGCCGAGGCTGAGGTGACTGCGTCGGACAGGGTGGCCGCAGAGACGCTCGAGGACGCTCTGGAGACGCTCGAGTCAATCACAGGCGCTGCGATGTCGCCCGAACCCCAGGGCGAGCAACAGTGCCGCCCGTCGCTCGCGTCCATCAACACGTTGTCCACCATCTACTCCGAGTCCCCGGTCAGCACGCCCCCCTCGGCGTCTATACCCTACACACCAGAGGACGTATTTGCAACACCGTTTGCAGTTGCTCGGCTCAAGGAAGCAGCGCAGGTGAGGCACCATGATGTTATTTGACGTGTATGCTACGAGCTTTTAGTTTGCCATTACCTAAAACCCCTCGCTTCTGGACTCTTTCTAGGTGCCGTTGCCAGCATCCGAGCCGAACTCCCCTGCTGGGAACCTCCTGAATGGAAGCTCTTGTTCCATCCCTGCGGATCTGGCTTCGCCTCTTCAAGCCATGAACCTTCTGGACGACACTCAAGGCACTCAAGGCACTCAAGGCACACCAGGCTCAATGGGCTCCGCTCTAATGGACCTGGTATCCCCGCTCGAATCAAACATTTATGATCAGTCCACTGCAACATCACCCCAATCCTAACCACTACTTTAACATTTGTTACATTCTCATATTATTTTATTAAGTTTTAATATTTTAATATTTTATTATGATTCCTTTATAAACTGTACTATATGCATAACTAATAAATACATTGTTTACCTAAGGTTCTGGGCTTTTTGGCTTCTAAATTGTAACCAGTAAATGAACAAGACAGTAGCTACTTTCAATTAAAATTTAATCCAACGTATCACAGTGGACATTTCAACACCAATGACGTGCAGTTCTGTGCAAAAACTATCCGTCTAAGTTTAACTTAAAGCAAAGACATTTCTCTATTTGGTGCACTGCTGCGTAAGACTGAATCTCATGTGCCACATACAGTACCTAGTAGCACTGGATTACAAGGAAAGAAATAAAGCAAGCTAAGTCCCAGAGCAGATCCAACCAGGATGCTGGAACCAATTCACACATCACATAAAATAAATGTGCAAATGTTTAATTTATGGTATACTACTGAACTGGGTATATTTTTGGCCAGTCTGGCGGGGACAACAATTTACAAAATTTACATAAAGGAACATTTATCTCATGAAAATTAAATTTAAATAAATATAAAACATGTTATAGGCTATACCTGTATAGAAATAAGTTAATTTACAACATAAAATTAAAATGCATTAAAGCTAGTCATTTGATTTGTAAAAAATGCTCATTAATACAAATTGTACACTGAGGAGCACAGATTCCAATGAGAGGTAAGACCACACAACTCATAAGGAAGTTTTGAAGTTCCAAGAAATGTGCTGATATAAATGCTCCTCAGCCTCAGGCAGTGATTTACTAATTTATCATCACAAAGAAAAATAATGTATAAAAATTTGTAGATCTATGACTAAGATGACTTATGGCAAGAAAATCTTTCCATAAGTCAGTGAGATCATATTCCTCACCAACACAGATCAAGTTCTGATCTGCAACAATAACAAAATAAGAGAATTGCATGGATGGTCAACGGCTATACTCTAGATCACTAATGCACTGGCACTATACATTAATACACTATACAATAAGACACATTGTGTCCAAAATTCACATTTTCATATGAAAATAAAGCTTTAAGTAGTGGGAAAATACTTTCAAGGAAAAAGAAGAGGATGTTGAACAAATAAATTACAAACCTCTTAGTTCCACATAACTATCCTTAGATAAAAAAAATATAAAATTACATTTTGAGGGAAATTCAGTCTGAGATAGCTACTTGACATCAGTCAAGAAATGAATTTATTAAAAAAGTATAAGATAAAAAGCTGCATAAAAGCAATGTTCAAGATAAGACAGGCACATAGAAATCGGTCAGAATCATACATTTACTTGACTTAGAAATTGTAATATAGAGAACACTGCGGGCTCAGTAAAAAAATTAGGGACACGAATGTAATTTACTTTCATTAATGGCAAGATTCACTGAATATATAAGGTTTAGTTCTCCAAGCATAGAAAAGTGCAGGACACACTTTATGATTTGTATGGGTGACTCCTTAATGCATTGGTTCAAATTACATTCCTGTTCCACTACACAATAACTGAAGGAAATAATACATATGCATCAGATGTTCCCACTTTTCTGACTGGACCCGAGTGTTCTCCCTACTGTCATATCACTGTTTCAGAATCAAGATTTCCTTGGGAACGATAAGCAGGTGGACCACTACTTAAAAAAGCCGCATTTCTTAATGATTGTCTCCCATTGTTCTGACTGCGTCTGTATGAGTTAACAACAGGTACCTGAGCAGTTGCCTGGCCATAATTATTTGAAGGACTCAAATGACCAAGAGCACGAGCTCCATGATAGTTGGAGTAGCTTGATCTGGCAGATGGAGGGCGGTTGTAAGAATCATCATCATCATCGTCATGGTTTGCCAAAGATTGGTTGGAACTCTGCTGATATAATGGATTGACATGTCCAGATTTTCTCCAATTGTTTCCACCCATAATCATGGTAGTAGAGGGTGGATTGTCTTGAGATATAAGCAGGTCAGTATGTGAAGTAGATTCCACAAAACCTGGTCGAGATTCATTGGATGTTGTTGAGTCTCCTAGCCCTGAGAATGTTTGTCCTGCAGAACACAAAACAATTAGGTACAAAATATTTTCTTTTTAAGGAAATCAAACACATTTAACTCATTTGATTTGTTTTGTCATGTGGGCTAAAAAAAACAATTACAAACCTAGTCTCATCATGCTGTGGGAAGGAGGGAGTTGAGGTGGCAACTGAGGCGGTAACTGAGGCGGTAACTGTGGTGGAAGTTGAGGAGGAAGATGATGGTTCAATTGTTGCTGTTGCTGTTGAATCAATAATCTTGTTACTGGATTTTGGTGCTGAGGTTGAGATCTATTCTTTCGGCCAGATGATCTTAATGATGATCGAGCAGACATGCCACCACTGCCCTGCCTCCGGTGTAAAGTTGGAGGATGCTGACTGTGAGATGACGTACTCCTTCCTCTCAGTGTTCCACTGCTGCCAATACCCAAACTGGTGCCACGAGAATTCACACTTCGTCGTTTGACCCTTCTCGGGGTCATTGGTCTTGGCGATAACTGTGGTCCTGGTAGTCGAGCGTTCCCTAAATGACATATGATAGAGTGGATGATCGATCATTTTATGATAACCATGCAGCAATGTCTTAGTTTCCTTACCTGGAAGTGTTCCATGACTCCTTAAATTTCCATCCAGACTCTCATCCTCATCTTCCTCGGTGTACTGATCATCATTGCGATCTGTTTCATGAGGATGAGGGGTGTACTCTATGGAGTACAGAGAAGCAGGGCGGACAGCGCTACTACCTTTTTTACTTGATGCTGCGGAAAATTTTAAAACTTTAAGCTCAGGTCCCCTTTAAAATACTACTTCATTACTTCACTTTTAGCTATTATGGTGTTTCCAATTTGACATAATTTACAACAAGAACATTTACTGTCCAGTTAGTTAACAAAAATTAAGGGTGTGTCAAAAGTTGCTTACTTTGTAGTTTTGGGAAACACAATCACCATCACATTGGAGAGAAAAACGTGCACCAGCATGCAAACAGTTAGTGAACCATGCAAGAGCTGCAAAGGAAAAGACAAACCACCAGATTCTGATGAAAGACAACAAAAGAAACCTTTGATGTAGGTTCTGATGAAGTGTATTATTCACACGATGAAACGATCAGTTCAATGTTTGTGCGATGCACAGTGCTTTTGAAGAAATGGGAGGGAGGCTATGCAGCATAGAGGAAAAGTAATGGATAAAGAAAAGATGAGAGAAGTAGGAACATCTAATTGAGATTTCAACTGTTATATTTCCATTTATAAATAGGTAGTTCACAAAGTCTCTGCACTGGAAAAAATCAAAATTAACAAAATTGATCTTAAATGATAAAATTTCATAATAAAATCAACTTAACATGACATGATCATTATCACAGGCAAATTAAAAACAAATGAATGAAATGGCCCTAGCACCATAAGGGTTTAAAGAAATTTGTGAATGATATCCAGAATTCTCTACAATATCATTTGATGTCAATCATTCATGGTCCAAAATATCCACAGAAAAGAATCACCACTCACAATGACAAGATAGGGCAATTTGTGCATGTCTTGGCATAAAATCCTAAAACTCAGATAAGACACAGTAAAGATTGTAAAGATTATTGATAGCAAAGGAACACAAAGAATAAATAAATAACAAAGGCATAATAACACATCTTGCAAATTTGAAAAACTTAAATCACTAAAAGGTACATGTAAACAAAAAATATTGTAAATTTCACTAAGATATGTTCATACAGAGGTTGGTATAGATAGTAACAGCTCCAAACCTATAAAACAGCTATAAAACCAGGAGTTTGCTTCACAACACAAAGTGGCAGTGATGTAGTCTAGATAAGGAAAAGACGGATGAGGTTGGCAGCTGTGAGCTTTATCCTTGTATTATTTTTAAAAAAAGCAAACTCACACACACACACACTTACACTTACAAGACAGTGTTGCAAGTAATCTGAACAAGTTTCTGGATTCATGAGTCAGGAAAAAAACCTGCTATTACGTACATAGATAGTTATGAGGTTATGCTAACCAAAGAAAAAACGTTCCCAGTTTTTAGACGATACCTACAAAATGGGAAGAGTGATTTTGATGATTTAGAGCTTTTGTAAAGATAAGATGCCACAAAGTTTTCATATCTCTGTTACCAAAAGTGTTACTTCTTGTGCCCTAAAATAATTTTCTTAACAATGGAGGCTTATTAAATATTAATTAGCGATCATTTCTAACAAAAATTATTTTGGGGCACAATGAGTACTCTGGTAACTTTTGGTAATAGAGTAACAAAAGTAAGGTGGCCATTCTGGAGAATATTGGCTGAAGACTGAAAACATTTATCATTATGTAAGAATGCCCGCATGACCTGAGAACAATGAAAGAAATATACCAAATATGAGAAAGTATTGGGGCAAGTAAGTACAATGGCAACAGAAAACAATAAATTTAGTATTGTCAGATAATTTTTAAAAGTCAACTTCAAACATCTGAACCTGAGGGAAGTAGTTCAGTGTCTAAATTTTTTGAATCTACGTGAATTTGAAGTCATACAAAATGTTGGGATAAATTTAATAGATGAAAAACTACCACACATTGAAATGCAATAGAAGACTATACAGGTAACTACTAATAATTTAATAAAAATTATGGATAGATAGATAATAATTTACTTCAGATGAATGACTCTTAGGAAACCACATTTCAATTCAGAAAGATGAGGTGCATCTTAGCATCTTCTTAAGTTGAGCAAAATTAAATAAACAACAACAACCTTAAAACTTAAGAATAGTAACCTAAGACTTTGCCAAGAGCTGGGCTGGAGCAGTAAAGGCCTTATTAGAAAGTCATAAGAGACAATTCTCTACAATATCTTCCACACATATTCAGCAAACATGAATGGTGCAAAGCAAGCAATAGTACCTTGACAGAAGTTAAAGGTTCAAACATACAAACAAGTTGGTATATGATTCAAATTAATTTTTCACAAACAGGATTTAATTTATATGTTAGATATCAGTGCCTGGTTTGGTGGAGGACTCCTCATTCAAATTACCCAAACTCTTCTAAATTAAGAAAAAAAATGCATATCGCATTGTCTTGAAAAAGTTCCTGGTCCCATTGTTTAGACAATTAGAAAAAGACAACAGGAAAATGGCACACAATTACAAATACAGATTTCTAAATCTAATCATTCGGACTGATGTCATATATAAATAGGCTATGGCACAGATTTCATTGTTCAGACTTCAGCAGGCAAATATAATTTTCCCAGTATCAGACGATTAAAAAAAGTCTATATCCCATTGTCAGAATGAGAAAATAGTGCCTCAAACAGTAGGCTTAGACAATCAAAACCAAATTGTATTAAAAGTAAAAAAAATATCCCAGCCATTACATCTTCATGAAAATCAGTCGAATCTTGTCACATGAACAGAAAGAGGTCTTGGTTTTAAGTGTCGTAAACGTTGTGGGGGCAACATTCGCGAATCTTCTATATGAAAGTTCTTATGATCTCCACTCCCACTAATACCAGCTTTGTTTAGGTACAAATCAGACCGACACATTCGTATAGAGTCACCACTGCGTGGGAGGGAAAATGCCCTAGGTTGAGCTAATGAATCTTGTCTACTTGCTGCTAAGCGCAGCTGACTTGACCGCAAGAATGACTGGGAGCTGTTGGTCGGCACACGAACATAAGTAGGTCGAAGATGAGTCAAGTGCTGAGGACTTTTCGTTTCAAAGCCTCCAAGAAAGTCAACTGAAACCAAGACAGCCAATCCCGGAAGATATCAGAAATTTGTGAGAATGGTGGAACAGCATGACACTATTTTAGCATAAAGGAGTAATTCCTCAAAAGAGACGACTTTCATAATGTGTACGCCTCAGAAGATGCAGATAAGGTCAAATAACACAAAAAAATTAGCTTTTCTATTAATTAAAGTCTCATAGCAATACGATTTAGTTTATAATACCCATGCACACCAACGAATAACTACATTTCCTAATGTAAACAACAGCCAATTTTTAAAAATATAATTCAAATGTCAGCATAGCAAAAATAAAAAATGAAATAAAATAAGGATGTGCATTAGGTATTTGAGTTAAAACAACATGTTCTACGCTCCTTCCCAGTCATAATCAATAAGTACATCTTAAAAAAGATGTGCTGCAATAGAAGATCTATGACCCATAATGTGTAGAACCTATTATAAAATGGTCAATGGTTATAACCAAATCATCCAAAGAAACCATGTGAAAGAATGTTGAGATGATCCTACAGCAATGAAGTCAATGAAAGTTGGAAATCTGGTAAACATACAGATGCCGAGAACAGATTTAAGTATACTTTTGGACAGAACACTTGCTGTAGTGTTAAATCAAGTTTTTAAAGTCAAGAAAGGGAGACTTCAGCAACACAAGTGTTGCAACAGAACAAACAAGCTTAAAAATGCTGAGATGGACAAAAATAAAATTCAGGGATTGGAATGGAAGCAATATAGTCAAGCAAAAGAAGTACAAAAATTTAACACTAGAGCATAGCTGAAATAAACTATGAATAATAATAGAAGACAATTAAGAATAAAAACAAATTAAAGGTTTATGACAGTATCAATCGTTGTCAATCAGTATTCTAACACAAAAGATAAGTCAAAAATGCAATTCTCAAATATTTGTTCCACCATACACAGAAGGGTAAAATAATCAAATGATATGAACGTGCACAGTAGAAGTACCTTACTGAAATAGGTTAACATGCTCCATCTCCGACTTACCACACCATTTGAGAGTCAAATCCACCAATAAAATCAACTGAAACGAACACCAAATTAAGAGATTCATAGAGTTGATTCAACAAGATCTTGAAAATATGGTGGGCACATTTAAGAGTCAAAAATGAAGAGTCATGCTTTAGAAATTTGACCTGAAAGCTTGGGAGTGTAACTTAATTAATATGAATAGGATTATGACATGAAAATTAAGGAAGAACTACAAAAGCTTCCACCATGAAGAATTCATACCTACAACCTCAAATGTTAACAGGAAAATGTTAGTTTTAGGGGAGCCATCACCATTAAGCATCTTACATGTGGGTTATTTAAAACCAAAGAAAATACTCACAGCTGTCATCCTCTTCTACAAAAATCCGGAGGACATGAATAGCTCCGCTTCCACCCAGAACCTGAGTCAGATAAGATTTAGAGTCAGCTCAGCTCTAAATTTAATGAAAGAATAAACATTGTGTATATTTCCTATATCACATAGTGCAAACAACTTACAGCAAAAATAATCTGAATGGCAGCATGAAGAACTTCAATGTATTCATAAGTAAGAACACAACCCGAAACAGACTCAGGCCGTGGACCACAGGAGAAGTCTTCAGTAATGTTAGTGGTGTAAACTGGACGACATCCAAAACCATTTACTTCCCACCAACTAACACAGCCTGTGCCGAAATTGAGGGAACTCCCATTCTAGATAACAAAACAAAACATTAGAAAAATTTCAACTGCTTCCTCTTTAACTAGTTAAATGAAAAATTGTATATTAACCTTATCCACTCCAATGTTCAAATAAAAGCAGATTATAAAGATGTTCCATCCAATCCAAAGAGCACTCCAAACAGAATACTGAAAACACGAAAATTGGGCCATAATTTATTTATATATTAAGCAGTGTCTAGTGAGAAGTAAAGAAATCTTACAAATAGAAGAAAATAAATAAAAAAACAGGCATCAACATTATTGTTGTAAAACATATATAAGCTAACATAACATAAAAGCTAAGTTACTTACGGCAATAACATATTTAGGTCTGAACTGATGAGTCCCAAAAAATCCAAAAATCACAAATATTATTTGGAAGAAATTCGCTAAAATCGGTCCCCACAGAGTTCCAAGAAAATCGAAAACCTGCCTCTCTACAGTGGAAATCTGTAAAACGTAAAAAAGGAAGGATAAGTTAACTACCCAAGGGGATTAAATTTCATACAGGATGTATTAAAATGGCAGAATGGTTTGCTAGCTTGAAAAGGATGCGATGTGACATTGAAATCATTTTACAACGAAGTAATAAAGCAGAATGACTATAGCTTCAACATTCATAAAAGATTTGTTTGTGCAATGGTGCAATACATTTTGATTCAGAAATATCTCAGGTAACCTCTAAACCTGCTTTCCAGGGATCGTGACACCTGAGAAAAATAACATTAAAATTGTTGGAATGGTGGTTAGTGCTCTTTAAAGTGCTTTATACTGGAAACCCATCTACACTCTTACTAGGCATCGAACCACAAACCCACAAAGGGCTGAATGATGGACATTGGGACGCCCTTCAAATATGATTCATTTGCATTAGGCCTAAATGGCAACCCTAGCTTACCAGTTGCAAAATGCATATTGTCAACACGAAATGCCGCCTCGTACAAAGTCCCATGACATTTGGGCCGAACTGTAGTTGTAGGAAATAAAAATGCGAAAACGTTCGCGTATACTAGCTTAACATTATCGTTATGCTTAGCATAGAACTGTAACTTTTTATCGGGTATTAAGCGAACTTCCTTTGTAATGCACCTGCTGCACTGGCTCCACGGAAAACAAACACTTGTTGGCGCAAGCGCCGTTGCTCCTCCACAAAAAGCCGTTATTTGCAGTCGGTCCAGTCGGTCAGAAAATGCCCACTTTCTGGAACGTTCAGAATTTCGACAAGGCGGGGTGGCATCAGGTATGAGAATTTGTCGGCGGCAGTAGCAGAAGAAGAAAGCGGGTAGCGGGTGGAATGCTGAAAATGGTAAGATGTGAGTGTGTGTTTTGGATGATTGATTGTTTAAAATTTGTTATAGTCTTTGTGTAACCCGTTGGTGAATTAATAGTCACCTGTCCCATGATTTTCACCGTTTTAATACGTGCTGGTCAGATCCATGTAACTCATTTTCTGCCTCTTACACAAGCTGTTGTGTCATAGTAAAATCTTTGTTTTGTATTTGCTTTGCTCTACTGATATATGTTAATTAATGATATACATTGAAGCGAAGTCGATCATCCGTTCTCTCACGACCTGAAAACTATTTAAAGTAGTAATAACAGTATTTTTTTTTCAGCTAGTAGCTGAACAATGGAAGTAGCGACAATTGAGTACTGTGAACCCAAGGTCCTAGGCCATGGCTTTTCTTTTAAAGCCTGTGAGCAGGCAATCTTAGTGAAAGCTTACAAACTGGACAAAGGCCTTTTTCTTTGGATTGGCTCACTATCACAGCCAGTTCTAGAGGACCTTGCATTGTCCATGTCCACACCCTATGGACAGGACCCCCTTCAAACTAAACTCCTCGGAGATGTATTGAATATGTCATCGATGAATCTTGGAGCCCGTCTCTCGAAGAAGTTGGACAAACCCGTGTATGTGAGCTTCAACATATCAATGGACAAATTGTCTCTACCAGCTATAGAAGCTGGCATTGTTGAAGAGATGAAAAAATTTCCTCTGCAGTTTTAGAAGTTTGGTGGGAATTGTTTTATCAACAAAGACATTCTACTTGGCATGTTATAAGTAATGTCACGTTTGTGTCATTAAATTTACAATAATCATATGTTGTTCCTACCTACCCATTGACAAGATGATTGTGCAAAGTGACAGAGGTTCTAGCACATCAGTGAATGAAGATGAGGGACATACTGAAGCAGAAACAAAAATGACAACCATTTTAGATTTGCCGGATGAAGTTCTAGCTATGATCTTTTCTTATTGTGATGCCACCCAATTGATTCGTGACCTGTGCAGTGTCTGTCATCGGTTTCGAGATGTGGTCCTCACTGATGTAGTTGTATGGAAAGATGCATATTTCACGTGGGATGTGAAAAATCCCAATTTGAGTCTCTTTTGTAACGTAGTCTCCAACTCTCCTGCTATTAAGTGTATTCGTATAAGACACCCTGGAACAGTAAACGATACTCACCTGTTACGTTTGTTCAAGGAAATAATTACAAATCACTCAAAGTTGCGCACAATAGAACTTGAATGTTATGAACCTTCACATGGATATAGTACTGAGCTTTTCAATGGTTTGCGTGAAGGTTGTGGTGAAACATTGCAACATTTACGTCTTCAAGGACCGCTGCTAAGAAGTGCAATTTCAAGTATTTTTCATTTCTCTATGATGACTACTTTAGAATTACATGATGCTGCAAATGTTCAAGGGAGTGATTTGCGTGAGCTCTGTGACAAATGTCCAATACTTAATTGGATATCTTTACCTAGAGCTACGTACATAAGAGACTACGATCTGGAATATTTCTTTGAAAGAAAGCACTCCATGCTTGTTGGTTTTGACCTTTCAGGATTTATGATAAGTGATAAAGCGATGGTGAAACTTTATGATGCTCCTCGTTTAGTTCATGTTAGTCTACGAGATGCCCGCAATTTGAACTGGGGAACCTTCTCGATGATGAGAACTTTACGAGAAATACGGTTTGTCAGACTGAGGCGCTTGAGAGTGACTGGTCTTGCACTGACATCCTGGCTGTCTGGTTCAGGCAATCTTAACCAGCTACAGCTATTGGACTTGCAATATGGATATTACTTAGGTGACTGTGTAGCATTAATGATATCATTCTTCTGTCCAAATTTACGGTACCTATACCTAGGTGGTGTGCCTTCCTTAACAAAACGTGTATGTGAAAGAGTTAAGGAAAATCTGCCTAATTTACTTTACTTTTGTTGTGATCTTATTCCGACCCCATGACGATATCTCATATTCCGGGATAAAATTCTAAGAAATAATTCAGGTTGGATGCTAACTTGACTGCCTGCAAACTTTTTAAAACCTATTTCAGACTGACTGCAAATATTTTTCTTGGAATATTATTCTGGAATTAGATTGTCTGGTTTTGGGTGACTGTATAACTCCTGACTGTATCTTTAATTGTGTTAAATTTATGGTAAGTAGTACTTTTGTACTTTTACTGTACATGTACTATCAAAGGTCATTTTTATTCACATTTTTTCTAGACCTGGCACATTACTTAACATTTTTACATGTACAGTTGTTACTTTTTATTAATCTTTGTACTTATTATAAGTATACTGCATCAATCATAGAGGTCTTAGTGTTGTACTTTAGGCTGCTTCATTCCACGGTTTGTATTGAGGATAGGCACAGCAATTACTTATCATGCAAAGAAATAATAAAAAAAAAAGTTCCAACATTAAATGCTATTTGATTTTGACCTCTTCTACACCTCTGCTGAGAAAATTTAAGAACATAATCAGAAGATCAGCATTATTTCATGTGAAATATGAAACCATGATGAAACCAAGTTTCAAATAACACAGAAAAGTTAATATAATATCACAGATACTTATCTTTGCTAAAATTGTTCTGCACTGTTCTAGTCGGCAAAGCACATAGATGCTGACACAAACAGCGCCTCACCAGTACGGACGCTTTGAGCGCCAACTCGTCTTTAACTTGCACGCATTAGACTCGGCACCATGGCTGCCAGGACCAAGATGAGGTATATCACCGAGGCTACTCTCTCCAGGACCACGGCCAGCATGTGCCAGTCCCTCCGCGCCTCCTCCGCGTCCATGGCGTCCAGCATCTCCAGGACCTGCTCTGTTGGGGTGCCGCTCGGGCACGCGCGCCACTGGAACACGGTTCAACAAGGTCAGTCGATAGATTAAACCTCTCTTTACTGTTCGCCGCGTTCTAGTGACTGACCCGAGGCCGCTCCGGCGGGCCGTTGTGGCAGAGGAGGACCCTAGCGAGGGTCGCACTCCGGAGCAGCTTGTTGAGGGCGCGCGGCAGCTGGGGCAGGTGCAGCGGGGGCGGGCGGGGCGCCTCGAGCACGGCGTCGTCCACGCACGGGCAGCCGGCCCAGGGCAGAGTCTGCAGCAGCAGCGCCGCGGCCGCCACGGCCAGCGCCGCAGACAGGCAAGACACTGCTCAGGAGTGAGCCCAGTCCAAAGGTCAGGTCAGGCCCGTCGGACCGCGGGGGTGGTACGCACCAGACGACGGCGCCGCTGTGAGCACTGCCGGCGGAAGGGCGGCCTGCATGCTGAGCACCGCCACGGCGGTCATGAGCAGCGTGAGCGCGGCGAGCGGTCCTCGCGGCGGCGCCTCCGGGGAGCGCGGGGTAGGGGCTGGGCAGAGCAGGCCCAGCACGCAGCACGAGCACGCCGCTGCACACCAGAGGCTGGGTTCAACGACTTGTCGCGATGGGGTGGGCCGCGCAGTGAGCTTACCGATGTACGCGGCGAGGAACACGCCGGTGATCCTGGATCCGCGATGCCGCACCCGTATCCGCAAGAAGGATGCTCCACTACGAGTGTCCAGCTCCTCGCCCTCGGTATTGTTCCGCCCGGTCGCGTCCTGCGCGGAGTCATTGGCGGGCTCCACGGAGTGCGCAGCCATCCACGCCCACCGCGGGGCGTTCTCGGGGGCCGGGGAGTTGGGCGCCTCCAGGAGGACGAATGCCGGAGGCGAAGCGACGACGCCGAGGTCGCAGACGTACTCCTCCACCGCGCCGCCACCGCGTTCGAGGGAGCAGCGCGCCAGCAGCTCCACGGGCCCACGCGCGCGCAGCCGCCCGTCGGCGTCCAGGTGCAGTCGGAGGCCGCCGCCGAGCGCACCCCTCAGCAGGCCAGAGGACGCCGGGAGGACGGGGCTGTGGCAGCAGCACCCAACCGGTGGGTCGTAACATATCACGCCCCTCTCCCCCCAGACCCCATGAATCTCATTCCGTCACGACGGCAGCGGAGGAGAATTGTTATGATTTCTCCGTGGCTTTCTCGTGCAATCCCCGGGAGTGGGTAGTGCTACTCACTCTGCGACCTGGAGGTGCGGCAGCCAGACATCTGTTGGCGAGACCAATGCGGTGGCGTTGAGGCCGGCGAAGTCCGCGGGGGTCCACGTTTGTCTGTCGTCCTGCCACTCCTTGGTGTGGAGAAGGTACCGAGTCACTCGCACCACATTTAACTTCATTTCGAGCGAGCGCGAAGAGCGCGTGCTCATGCGTTCGGGAGAACTACGTAACTCTTGATAGGTGAACCTCCTTCCTCATACTGGGGCTGCCTGCACCCCCCCCCCCTCCCGAAATATTTGGCAGTTACACTGTACCACATGCACGCGTACAGATGGGTTGTAATGGATCATCCAGAATATGTACGTCCGTCATTCGCCGTTACAAACCTGCCAAGTTTAGCCTATACAAGCTGTCATAGCGCCTGGTAGGTGGGCAACGCATCGGCTGCCGTGCATGCGCGTACTGCGGGTGTGCCCACCCAGGGTCTCGCAGGCGCTAAGATCCCGTACTTTCCTGAATGAATCTGAAAAACCCCGAACATACTTCCTGGACGTTCCCTGCCTGCGGTGCAGCATTATACCGTGAAATCCGATCCCTACCGGAGCAGGGGGTTACCTCCAAGAGTCACGTTAGTTTCTTAAGCGATTCTCTCCCTACCGAGACGAGCGTTCCGAACACGGTCAGCACTCCCAGCCTGTCATCCTGCAACAGTCCATATGCATAGCTCGTGAATGCCCGGGACAGTGCGAGGGAGAAGGAGGTGGAGCTGCACACTGCGGCGGTCACGCACCACGGCGAAGCGGTCCACGTCCAATCGCACCCGCACGTCCACGGCGTGGTGCGGCGGGGACTTCTTGTGGGGAACCAGGACGTGCTGACGCAAGCGTTCAGCCGGCCCCATCCACTCTGCGTCCAGCGCGCCGGTCGGCGACGTGTCGCCTGCGGGATGCCCCGGGTGGAGTAACGAAGTGAGCAAGTGAGCGCGTCGAGCACGTCCACAGGACAGGACACGTCCAAAGGCCAGTCCTCCCTCCGGCTGCCCTTTGGAATGGTACGTCTCACAATTATACTCGCCTCGATTTTCGCAACCGTAGAGCCACATGCCCTCCACGTCGGTCCAGGTGCAGAGGCTGAGGTAGCGCACGCGGAGGGGCTCCGGGTCGACCCAGGCCAGGATGGGCGCCCCGCCCGCCGGCCCCACGGCGAGGACGCCAGTGCGCAGGTCGACCAGCAGCCAGAAGGCGCGCAGCTCGGCGCCCGACACCACGCCCGCCGAGTAGTTGAAGGCGCGCCGCGGCGGCAGGGACGCGGGCAGGCGCCGGAAGTCGGTGTAGGTGTTGTTGCCCGCGCCGAGCACCACCTGTGTGGGTGGGGCGGGTGTCTAACCAGCGGACTGGACAAGGCTCCACGACCGCGAGAGCAGCCGGCTAGCCGGCTTGGGCGTTGTGGTATGCTCATGCTCATTGCCCAGGGAATTACTAATGACAAGGACGAGAGCTGTTCGCACTGCCTGTACTTAGTTAGACTCACTATCGGTGGACTTGGTGAATGAACCTTCCCCCACGACCCGGACCATGTCCTGCTATCGCGGGAGGGACGGGCGAGGGGCGGAGGGAGAGAGACGGATGTTGATTGCACACTGCTGCAAGACAAGGACATCAGCTTGCAGTTGCCGCGGGGCGTGCGGGACGCGGGCAGCCGCCGACCCAGCAGGACAAGTTGGGCATAAACAAACCGTGCAGAAAGGGTCACCGACCCCACCCGCGGTACACTCCGGGCCAGGGAGCTGCGCGTACTATGGTGCTCGTAGAGCATCGGACATGGATATGCCCAAAACGAGTCCGGAATCGACTAGTGAAGATGGGGTGTTCGCATTGAACCAAAGCTTTCCCTCTCTATCCCTCTCACTAGTCGTTTTCGGAGGCATATGGACATCCGATGCCCAACCGCTACAGGGCTCCTTTCTGCTCTGCTGGAACTGACCTCGTACGCTTCCCGGTCCGAACGCCTCTGCGCGCTGAGCAAGATGTGAGCGTCGCTCTCCGCCATCACCTGCAATCGCAAGCAGAGTCAACCATGAGCCGAACCAAGCGCACCGCCGATCAGCATTCTCTATTTCACGTTGTAACGTGCAGTGCCGTATACTTGCATCTCAGTAAACCCTTATACAAAAATACAATGCTACATTTCCGGATGCCTTGTGAAAAGTGGCCAAATACCTCTTTCTGACTGAGAAGCATCATCGCCCTCTAGCGATACCTTTCGGTGGCGCGCAGCGCACTCACATGAAAGCGCAGCACCAGCCTCTCGGGCAGCGGGGGCGGGCTGCTGCCGCTCGCCGGCGGCGACCCTCCAGGCCCGGTCGCGTTCCCCCTCATCGCCGGCGTCGTGTTGCCCGGCCGCAGGTGTGGCGGCGGCGTGGGCGCCGGGCCGGGGGCGGCGGGGGCGGGGTAGCCGTCCATTGGGTCCGTGTCCCCGGGGGTGGCGAGCGCTGCCTCCAGCGGTATGAACTGCCGGTAGCCGTAGCCCGACGTCAGGATGACCTGGCACCTCTCTGCGGCGCAAACACTGCAGCTGTAGGTGGCGGCCAGATCAAAAATGGACCACCCAAAGATGTTCTCGTCCGGAATAAGTTTGGACGAATGTCCTGCTTCTGCCTCACCCTGCCCCGCGGCGCTGGCCTCCCTCACGGCCTGGTTGACGGCGAGCAGGAGGGAGCAGCAGAGCAGCCCGGAGCAGCGCGTCCTCGGCGGCATGGTGAGGCCCTAAAGGAGGCCGCGCCGCGCCCCGCAGCAGACTGAGGCCGCGCCGGCCAGAGCCCCGCCTGCCCCGCCCGCGCCCCGCGCCTCCACGCGCGGCTGCCGCTATGCCCAGTTTCCGCCTGTCTCCCGGGCTGGAGGAGGCGAGGCGGGAGAGTTCTCCCCTTTCGAGCAGGATCCTCCCGGCCTGGTGTATTCGATCGTGGTTCTTCTACACCCCAGACGCGAGCTGCATGTTTCCGTTGGCCGTCATGCACCGGCTCAAGGTGTCGGCCGCTGCCCAACGTCCCGCTGACATCCGCGGGGCACGTGCTCTAGGTCGCTTCGCACACATGTGCGCTGGAGGTGCTCACTGGGGTGAGTCTAGCTGCCCTCTCTCGCTCCCACCTGGACGGCCGTCTCGCTCGCAGAGTCTGCCCGGTCCACCCCCGCACAATGAGCGGAAGCGGCCGGGGCTCAGTGAGCCGCCGAGGCGGCCGGGCCCTCATTGCCCAATAACTTGATTTATGTGGCGAACGACAACAATGAGCCTGGACCGGAGAGGGGCCGCCGGGGGGTTAACCTTGCATCTTGGAACTTGAAAGGAGGAGAGGAACACCCCCTGCTCTGCCCTCCTGCTCTCTTGCCTCCACTCCCCAGCCGCTTTGCGAAACGGCTGACTTATCAGCGCAGTTTCAGTTTACCAACAGTATGTTGTTCTTTTTCCCCTTCTTTGTTTTTAAAAGAAGATAATAGTTTTTTGACACGTGATAAAAAAAGTTATGGTTGGGCCCGCAAGTTACTTTCAGACAGTACATCCCACTGCAGTGTAAAACGTAGAGTGACCTTTCTTTCCCGAATAGAGCGACGTATCGGCTTCATCGCACTGTTAGAGCGATTTTTGCGAAATGACTCAACATGAGTCTTCTTCGTAACCAAAAATGTCGCGGAAAGTTACTCCAACCGAGCGATGTAATTAATATTGCTCTCCCAAGAGTCGTCAAATTGGATTCACAATATCGCTCTATTTGCAGCGTATTTGGTCACTCCTTTACTTGTAGTGTGGCTGAGCAGGACGGATACGGCAACCCCCTTCAATGGCACACTGAACCCGTGGTCCACAGGCCTGTGAGAAATTAATAAAACTAATGGAATTGTTCTTAATAATTTCAGTTGTAGAATAAAGCAGTCGCGGGCAGTCGGAAACAAAACGTTACGTCAGCCGCGCGCGTCGAGTCTGGGGCTGAGCCAAGGGCTGAGGTTGGTTGGGGCTATGCCCGGGCCCGGACCTCATGACAGCGTTTACGTCACAAGTCCCGAAGCAGGGGAAAGACAACGAGGTTTAGGCAGGCGAAGGGGTCATTTATATTTCAATCCATTCTTTTAAGTAAACGGTGCCCAATAGAGGTAGAGAACCATGCCACCAGTCGCCAGATCGATGGGAACGTCCCCCCCCCCCACCTTCACCCTTCTTTCCAATGAAGTAAACACGTGCTTGAGGGACGACTTCCTTCTACCACGTACCGGCCTTTAAAGAAATCCCCTACAGTATAATTGAGGGTCGACAGTGTAGTTGTGAGTTGCAGCGCAGCGCGCCACCAGCAACAACGGTTTACTAAATACGGAAGGCCCAACGATACGGCGGCGGCCTCGGGGCCGGAGGGTCCTAGAGGGTCCTTAGGGCGCCGTCGATGACCCCGTGGCCTGTTGACTCACTGTTGGGGCCGCAGGGCCGGCGCGGCGCGGTTCAGCGCGGGGCGCGGCGGGGTGCTGGGCGACGCTGCAGGGCGCGGCGAGGCGTGGCGGAGCGCGGCGGAGGCGTGGCACCGTGGCGTCGGGTCAGCTTCGCCGCCGTTCTCTAATTTCATTTCCCTCCACCTGAGCGCGCAGATTAGTGCGTCATTCTGGCGTGTACGCGGTGCTCCGCCCGCGTTGCTCCGTGGTGCTCCGGCTGCACTGCCTGCGCCGCGCCCCGGTGGTGGCGTTGCGCGCCGTGGGAGTCGGGCGCCGCCGCCATAGCGCGCCCACCGCGGGGCGCATTGTGGCCGTGGAAGGAGGAAAGTAGGGGGAGAGGGGGGGGGGTCCAAATTGACCAGCCAATTAATTTTGGCGTGGATAAATATCGGGCAGAGCAACCCGAGGAGAGCGGGCCTAGTGAGTCCATGCACACCCCAAAAAACTGAGTTCTGCGACCAAGTATCCACTTCTGATTCTAGATTTTTCAAGTACACATCACTTGAATCGAGACATATATATGTGCACTTGAAAAATCAATGACCAAGTACAATGAACAATGTGTCCAAGAACTCAGTTTTGTGGGTTCACTGGCCGGGTCCGGCAGCGTTCTGGTGCGAGCAGAATAGTTTGCTTTTTTGTCGGGACATTACTCGCACTTTGTATATATTAAACAGCCATATAGGCTCGGGGCAAACTATGGATTTGTACACCACCACCCCTTAAAAATAAAATATGACCAGTTTGTATTTGAACAATCACACGACGGCGCATGTTCACGCCTCGCCTCGCCCCCCACCTCCATGGGCCGCCCTACCCGCGAAGCTTATCTGACCCTGATAATCGCCAGTGTTCATTGTCCTCGCTTCCTCCGGCCGCCGGAGGATCACTGCTGGCCACCGCGCTGGCCGGCGCGCGGGCCGGGCCGGGCCGGGCACCGCTCCTCTCCTCACCTGGTGAGCGCCGAGCGCCGCGGTGCAGGCGATGCATCCCGAGACATCGATGCACCAGCAAGTGCAAGGGATGGGAAAGCAAGAGTTACGCAGTCACTGTGAGACACTGTACGACTGCGGCCACACGGCTGAGCGCGGCGGTTCAGGAATGCCGGCGTGGAGGGACACGCCGGTGCCCACTTTGCATGACGACATTTTGGCAATCATATTTTGAGTCCCATTGGTAAAGTCAATCTTTTGAAGCACGCCCGCCATTTTTCCATGGCTGTCAGCTTTGACTGTCAAATTTTATGGAGGAATAATGAAATTTGGAATTCGATGCGGTCGCAAGGTCGTGCGGAGAGGCCTTCTTAAACAAACGCCCTTCCCCCTCCCTCCCCCGGAGCTAGCGCAGGTGGGTGCAGAGTTAAGGGACCTCGCCAAACGACACCGTTGAAGGACGACATTTTTCATTAAAAACGGCTGCATTCAAGGCGCCAGCAATTTGACAAGGTGTTTGGCCACAGGGCTTCCCATCAAGCAGACTGGTTCATCGTATCGGATACGTGGCGACGCGGGCGGAGAGGCATGGCTGCTCTGGAAACCCAAGTGTGTATGTATGCGTTATTTGCTGAATACCTACATGTATGCAGCAAATACTGCGTACATGATCATGTATGTAGCAAATAGTATGTATATGACCATGTATGCAGCAAATACTGCCATACATAGCCATGAACACACTTCGGCACTACGTGTGTAGGTACATGGCCATGTATGCAGTATTGCTGCATACATGATCATGTACGCAGTATTTGCTGCATACATTGGGTATTCAGCAAATAACGAATAGGCTATTTCAGAGCTGGACGTGAAGAAGTAAAATGGAAGAACAAAACGGGCACTGCGCAAGCGCAGACGCCCCCCACTCCATCCCCTGCTTCCCCCACTCTGCATCTGCGCATGAGCAGTGCGCCTTTTGTTCTTCCATTTTACTTCTTCACGTCCAGCTCTGAAATACCCTATACATGTACACACTTGGGTTTCCATACTGAAGCTGCATCTGAGGTGTAAAGAACAGTCTCACGGCTGAGCGCCTCTCTCCATCCCTCCGGCGCACCTCCGCCAGCAGCTTTACGGGTGACTGATCAGTAGAGAGGTTTGTTTCGGGGTTTTCGCTCACACCGCTCTACCGCCCCCCCACTAATGTGACGGTAGCAAGCACATCTCAAACGAAAAAATAAATAAATATCATTTTGTAAAACTGTTGTGTAATTGATAAAATCACGAATCGTGTGGGCAATGCTAAGGATAAAAGAGTTTTACGCGAGGAGTGTGTGTCGAGCGAGGGTTGTTTAAGATTCTCATCAGCCCCCCTCCCCTTGGACCTCCCCCTATTATTTTAGGATAATCAAGATAGCCAACGAGCACCTTCCTGCCTCCGCCACCTACCGCGGTCCGGAGAGGGGTGGGGGTGACAGCCTCCCGTAACTCTGGGCGATTCTGTCCCATCTAGCTCCCCACCCCTCCCCCGCGCGCCGCCGCTGAGGCCAACGGGCCCTGGAACCTCCCTCGAGCCGCACTGGCACTGGGTCTGCCTCACTCCGCACCGCTGCGCGCACTCGTCCAGTGCTCATCCAGCACCACCCGCACCGCCCGCACCGCCCGCACCGCCCGCCCGACTCTCCCGACGACCGCGCCGCGCTGGCCAAGAGACAGCGACCACCGGCAGCCACGGAGGAACAGTCGCATTGTGTTCCAACGCGTCTTCTGTCGGATCACACCCGCGGCGGGGCGGTGACGAGGCGGGGACGCCAATGACGACGGTGACGGCGCGCCGGTGGCGACGACACCGTCGGCCTACGGTGGCCTTACCGACGGTGGCGACGAGGGCGTCAGCGCCGTCCTTGTCGATGATATTCGTCGTAGACCCGTGATGACGAAGCCCCTTCGCCCCGACGTCTGACCGGGATATGGCTCTACTCGGGGTGCTCCGCGTCCTCGTTGTCATCGTGGGCACAGGTAGGTGAAGTCCCGGGAGGGTGACATAGAGCAAGTGACAGCCAGGTCGACAGCTTGTCTTGCAACTGTGGAGGCGATGTCGTCACCATGACGGCTCGATATTATTTTTCAGTATCGAAAATTGTTTGCATTCATCGGTGTGGATTGTAAACATCAGTAGACTTATGGTAAATTGGGTTTCTGACCTCCCACTTTCCAACAAGTTTGTCAGAATAAACTATAAGGCCATCGCCCGAGAACGCCTGCCAACCAGGGGCTAGGCAAACCCGCCTGACTCAGTGGTGTAACAGGTTTGCCTACCCACAGGAGGTAGGAGTCCATCCACATACATCCTTCGCTGCGCTCCTTTGCAGTCAGTGTGGTTATTTAATTTTTATTACTTATTTATTAATGTTTTCAACCCACTTCCTGTGTACCAACATATAAAATTGTAAATTGTTCAAGAAAAAATGCACAACGGGTGGAGAAGACGCAGACGCTTGGCCCGCGCTGCCTGTTTGCACCGAGTACGACCTGCTGCTCGTATGAGTCCGTCTCCCCTTCCCCCGCTTGCTCCAGTTTCTTTCGACTGTGCCGTGGGGCGCAATGGAATCCGCTCTCCGAAATGTCAGAGCCCCATTTACTGCTGCCTGCATGCGTAAGAATTCAGAAGTCATAATGCTGGTGGAGGAGAACAATATACCGCCCCCCCCCCCCAATGCCCCGTCGGACTCAATCGTGCCGTCAAGTTTGACGTATGTCAGCATTTACAGCTTTCGAGCGAACCATAGGAGGCGCCGCTACAGTACAATGCAAAATTTGCCGGAACGATTCTGTATGTGAATTAATTTTTGACGACAGCCCGCACTTACCTTCTTAACCACAGCTCCTGCTTTACTGCCGTGTGAACCTGGCCCCTCACCGACGGCAACGACGCCTGGGCCGCAGTTTGCTTCTCCACTGAAGACGCCGACGGCCCTCCCCTCTCCGCTGAGGACATCGACGACATCCTCGCCTGGGCCCGTGGCGACGTCCCTCCCACGCTCACCACTTTCGTCACCATCCAGAACAGCGTCGACCACCTCACCGCGGCCCGCGTCGTCGTCAACGCCAAAGCCAACACGTCCCCGAACGCCGGCCCCATCGAGGCCTCCGACGACTTCAACACAGAGGCCAGCGCCAGCGTCCTCCCCGCGCACGCCGACGTCAGGGCGGCCTCCTGCGTCCGCCTTCCGACTCGCGGCGTCCCCAAGCACGCCGCTGCCGTCAACGCCATCCCCAGAACAGTTGGTCGCGCGCATACGTGCCCTCGTCCGCGCGCTTCGCGATGCAGACCAGCTGCTCCGCGCGCTGCAGGTAGGCGACACGACAATGTGCCCCTTGAACGCCACTTTGTCTGGGTTATGTACACACGCCCGCGTTCCGTTTCAGATGTTCCGGGAGCAGCAGCAGCTCGGGGACGACGCCGTGCTCCGCGTGATGAAGGAAGACGCGAACCGCACGCTGGTGGAGCAGGTGGAGCACGCCATGCGAGCCGCCAATGCGCCGGCGGTCGCGTCAATGGCGGACATCATGGGCACCCTCTCGATGCCGAAGACGATCACACCCCCGTCGACGCCGAGCTCCAACAAGACTCTCTCGGCCAAGATACCCTACACAGCGTACGGCAAAAAGAGCGCAAAGTTTGTACACGGCCAGCAGCAGGCGGCGTCGGCCGCAGGCAAGCCCGTGGCCGCCGTCGGCAAGCCCAGGAGCGGCGTCGCAGCGGCGGCGTCAGCTGCCAGAGGCGCTTTAACGAAGAAGCATTCGAGCGCCGTGCCCACGACGAAAAAGCAATCGACGCCCGCATCGTCGACGGTGAACGTGCACGCCACTACGCGAGCGCCAGCGTTCTCCGCCAAGACGACGTACGTGAGCAGTAAGAATGGCACGGTCATCACGAGGATTAAGAACGATCCGATCCTGGGCGAGTACAAGGTGGTCATCAGGGACCTTACCCCTGCAGCTTCCTCGGGCCTAAGCCCCCGGAACGCCAGCTCGGGGGCGGGTGGCAGCGGTGACATCCAGGCGGGCGCCCCGGCAAGCAGCCGCCGGAGTGACAACGCATCGCTTCCGGCGCCGCCCAAGGTCCTCGTGCCGCCGGTGACAAGCACCCCATCGACGAGCGAGCGCGGGCGGCACAGATTCCAGGACGCGACCACGCCGAGCTCCACTGCCGTTCCAGCAGCACCTACGACCAACACGACCAAGTCGCCGCCGCCGCCGCCAGCCAGCCGGCGGTCGGGGAAGTCCGCGCCGCCCAAAGCTTCAGGGGCTCGCGCCAAGCCAAGGAATGCAACCCACAAGGGGAAGCCTTTGGTGGCGGCCACCACCGCCCCGAGACCACTGCAGACCGGCGTTCCTTCAATGACGAGCGCCAAGACGGCGCCGACGAGCACGACCAGCAACCCCAGCGCTGCGGCCACCCAGAAGAGCTTCCAGAAGAAGGCGACGGACCGGCAGCAGATCGTTTTGTCCGCGACCCTGCGGACGGCGCCGCCCAAGGAGCGCGAGGAGGAGGTGGCAAGGGAGCGGGCGCCGCAGGACACGCCGCTGCTGTCGGGCATCTTTCCCCGGTACGGCCCCGGCGCCGACCTGCCGCACGTCGAGAGGCCCTTCGTGCCGAGGTCTGGCAGCGCGACGCCACCAGCCAGCGTGCTGCTGCCGCCGCTGCCTGACGTGCCGACGACGGTGGCCTCGACGGCCTCCTCCTCGCAAACGACGCAGCCCTTCCCCCCATTTGCTCCCACGCAACCTTCCTCTACGTCCACGCCACCGCCACCCTCGACGCAGCCACCGTCGTCGCCGCCTTTGCCCCTGCAGGCGCCGTCCTCGTCCCCGCTGCCCGCGCGCGATGACGAGCGCTCCGCGGCCGGCGGCGGCGGCCCCCCACAAACAGTCAGGCTGGAGCCCGCCCTCTCGCCATCGCCGCCGGACGCCCCGGTCAGCTACTTCCTCGGGGAGAGTCCCTGGATTCCCATCTTCGTGAACCCACAGTCGGCCAGGAGTAACGAGATACAAAAGCAGTCCGGCGGTGGAGCCCCTTCGACGACACCCGCCCCACCGCGAACGATCGTCGAGCTCACCAAGCTCCATGTCGTCGAGGCGACCCCGTCGCCCATTGGCGCGGCCGCGACCCGGGGCGGACCCCAGGGGCGGGCGGTTCTCAACGATCCCCTTGAGTGGCGGCCCTCGCGGACGTGGCAGTACGCCATGCACCAGGACCGTGTTGATGGCGGTGACCTGCAGGACTTGAATCAGGATGGAGTTACGCAGCAGCACCTGCGACAGCTTCAGCACCTGCAGCTTCAACTGCAGCCTGATCTGCGCCTTGGCGGTTTGAGCCTGGTGCCGGTGCCCCTCTCCGTGGCCGAGAGTGTGTACTACCGCCTGACGCACGTGCAGGGCCCTGGCCGAGTACCTACTGACCTCCAGGGTAAGTAGACACCGACACACAAATAAGGCATTCTTATTAACTGTCCCAATAAGTAAGGAAGGATGGGTTACGTTTGGCAACTTGCAAACGTCTTGCGTTTAAGTTTTTCTCAGTCCTCTGTACAAGAATGAAGGAGATTAATGTAGTGAAAGAGAGGGGCGGCCCACCATCAGGGTCCAGCGTGCAGCCAAGACTGTGAACGACTTTTGGAAAGTCTCTGCCGCCAGCTGTGGAGCTTCCTATTCCGTCGTGTGATAATAATGGTAATGGAGAAAGAGAGAGAAAGAAAGAGAGAGAGAGAGAGTGACGGATTGCCGGTGAAGTCTGTGTGAGTGCGAGGGAGATGCGTGACAAGTTCTGTATCTCTCCCTCTCTCTCTCTCGCACTCACGCAAACTCCGTTTTCTACCAGAAGCCATACCGGTGCGGTGCCGCCATTGTGACCGTGTGAACGGCTGGTAATGAGAAATGATCGCGACGGAAGCGGCGCTCCGCTCCACGCGCCACCGCAGGACAGACGGGTCGTGCCTCCCCCCCCCCCTTTTCCTCTCCCCGAAATTTGTTGCTCAGCTCACGCGGCAGTATGTGAGGGAGGGGTTGAAAACTTAATAGACTATACCGGAGGGAGCGCGGAGAAGACAACACGGAAGAACAAAGGGGCCCGTGATTCGTCCAGCAGCTTACTCCACTACTTCCCGAATGTCTGTGTCAGTGGGGTAATAGAAGTGTAGTATTCTGTACGCTGAAAAGAAGGACTTGTCACACCCCATACGATAGATTTTGTAACGCAAACGTTCGCGGGGATATCGGGATCATTCTGCCGGGTCGTGGTAGGGACAGCTCACTACCATACCCAGGCTCAGGAAGTGCAACACTGCAGCTGGACATGGGGAACCAGAAGGCGCCCTTTAAAGAGGGTGATTAAAGTCGCCGAAATCACCACATGCATAGGTCGGGCGACTTGAGTCGTCCACTTGCTGGGAACCAGATTTACAGTGTAGCCTACCCAGTGGCACGGAAAGGTGTCTTGAGCAACAGCTGCAGCGGCGCGGCGTCGCGTGGCGCACATCCCGCCATTCTCTGCAGCCGCCGCTGGGCAGCGCCGGCCGCCGGGCCGGGGCGTAGCAGGTCGCCGTCAACAGCGGTGGAGGAGGAGTAGGAGAGCCTGAGAGCCTCTCGTCGAGGACGCTGCCTACCTGGCCGCCGCGCCGCCCTGGTTTGTTTCTGAGAGCTCCCGGGGTAGAGCCGAGAGACGCTGACGCTACCTCGGGACGGGGAGTGGGTCTTCTCGGCCTTCCAACTGCCGTCTTATAACTCGGTAACCACTTCCCCCTGGGAAACATCAATTTAAGGATGGATGAGTGGTAGAAAAATTTTGCCAGTGGTTTCTGCGCCGTGTCGAAATTGTTTTGTCCGTCTTTCCCTCAGAATCCAGCTCTTATAACCGGTAACAAACTTGAGGATACATGCACTTCCTGCCTACATGTTCCCCCTGGACGAAAATTGATTTGGAAAAGCGTGAACATTGGCGTATCGCAATGACACGTTCTTGATACCTAAACTTGTCGAAAGTGGCTTTCCAAGAGCATCGCAAGCAACACATTTTTCTCTCCCCCTTCCCCCTGATATCTTTGCTTGCTTGTACTACCTTTCTCTGGTCCGAGAGATTTTCGGTTTATGGGTCGCTCGGTGACCTTTGCTCCCATAAAACACGACAAAGGACGACATCAGGAACCGTGTGCTCGTCGGTGGAGGAAAGCGATGCTGCGCAGCGGTGGATGTTGTCCTTCTTTATAAGGTTTGTCGGGTGTGCTATCGCGAGGATGGAGGAGGAGGGGCCGGGGTGGTGGTGGTTGGGGTTAAGGAAGGGGCGGGGGGAGCAAATAGCGTCGTCGTCGCGTTGGGCCCGCGCGGGGACAACAGCAGCCATGGGGTGTTCTGCAGGGAAGCGAGTTGTTATCCTGGTCAATTGCACGCTCTGTTGGGAGGGGGGGGGGGGTGAGGTAATGCGACCCCGCCGGGCGGCACCGTGCCATAGGTCAGGGGACACAATAGGCCGGGCTGCACACGGGCCGGAGGCAGGCTGATGGCGGGTGGCCGGCGGATGGAATCGGGAAATGATTTCTCACTCATCTATACCGCGCCACGGCTCAATCAGAGAGACGCAAGTTCGGGAAGGGCTCGCCCAGAAAGTACGTCCGTCATTATTCTTTGAAGTAACGAAACTACCACGTTGAGCCTGTGAAAGCGCTCAGAGCGCCTGATCGGTAGGAAACATCTTCCATGCCGTGGATGCGTGCACTGCGACGTGGCCTACCCTTTTTTAAAAATAAATTTTGTTAGATAAAACTGAGAAAAACGGACGTACCTTCAGGACGATCCCCACGGAAAGTCCTGAAGGAACTCCCGTTCTCAGAAATGTTTGGGATATTAATGGGGCTCGGCGCCTGCGAGACTCGGGGTAGGCCACTCTGCAGTACACGCATGCACTGCACTCAAGATGTTGCCTACCCACCAGGCGCTATGGGAGCTTACAGAGGCTGACCATTGGCAGCACACTCTTAAATTCTTACAAAGAAAATTCTTGTATTACAAAGAATTTAGTGCAACCGCAATACACAGCCAAATTTTCTTTGTAATACAAAGAAAACTTTTGTGTCATACAGGAAAATTTCTTGTAATATGTATATTACGGTATTATGTATATTACGGTGGCACAGAATTATTTGCATTATACGAACAATTTCTTTGTAAAAGATTTAGAGTGCAGGTTCGTAGCAGCGAATGACGGACGTACTTTCAGGACGATGCCAAAAGCAAGTTGCTCATAGAAAAACTGACGACTTTGAGGTGAGGTGTATGAACGACACAACGGGACCGAGAGGATGGAGAGGTGGAGGAAGTGGAGTAGATCTATGGGGCTTCGGCCGGTGCCATACTCGCTCTCATGACAAGCCCAACGGCCGCCCATGGCGATGGTATCACATCGGCCTGTGTCGCCGCGCCGCTGCCAGCCCAGCCCCCCAGTAGCGGCGTCCTCGGGAGAGCCGCCGCCCCGCGCACCGCCGCGGGACGGGATCAGGACATAAACTGTATACACCGCATACTGCGGAAGTGCACTGCACGGGAGCCGTTGTCGCCAGGCGCACATCATGGCGCGGTCGAAATGTCGTGGCGGGCAGCGGACACGCTGCAGATCGTCAGGAAATAAAAATGATTTCCTACCGTCTAATGGCTTTTACTAGAGTCCGTGCATCTCTCCGGACGGCAATGGGGGCGTCGCGGATTGGGGGTTGGGATTTTTGCGGGAAGCGAACTGATGGTCGCACACGTGCCGTCTGCAATACTGGCTCGAGGGGCTGGAGGCGCTGAGGCCCGGGCCGCTGAGCGCCCTCGGGGCGCAGCAGCGGCAACAGCGGCACCGCCCGGAGCCGCGGGACCGATTAGATCTGTACGCGACCAGGCCAGACGAGTTAGGTTATGTCGTGCAGTCACTACTTCTGCTTCCCCCGCATTTCAGACGTTTTTCTTCCTTCTTGCCTTGCTGCCCTGCTCTCCTTTGCACTCGAGGTTGCTTCTGCCGCTGCAGCTGCTGTTGCAGCGGTGGTTCAGTGTCTGTTCGTCGTGACCCGGAGGCCCGGGGGCCCGCGCCGGGCGAAGGAGATCCCCCATCACTGCGTCACATCGATAGGTTGTTGTGTCGAGCGAAGAATTTAACTTTGTCTGCCTCGAATATGGTGATCCGCTGAACACATTCTGCGATGCTGCTGTGTAAGGGCAAGCGTGCCGCTTGTTGTAAACATAGAAATGTGGCGAACTATACGGCAACTGGCGATGATGTGTAATGTGGCTGAAATCCCTCTTCGGACTCTGTGTGTACATCACATGTTTCAGCGCCACGACACGACAGTCTGCGGACTTGCCTACTCGCACCACCCGTAAGGTAAGGTGCCATAGCACCTAGGTTATACAGGGTGGGTGATCGGCGCCGTGGTTTTTTTCTGCTTATGCTGTACCGGATTCATGCGTGCGGGCGGGCTTGCCTATCGTCGCTCGCCATGGCGCCTTACGGCCCCGTGCGAGTATGCAACCCGTCCGCACGCATGAATGCGGTACAGTACAAGCAGAAAAAAACCACGGCGCGGATCACACACCCTGTGCAAACCCGCAACACTGTTGTGTCGTAGCAATGGCACAGGGCACAGGATTACCCCGGTACCCCGTCGAAGAAAGTGCGTAGCCCGCAAGTACGAGTGCTGGCTGATGGGTTTCTTCGTCTCTATCCATGACGCCATATGTCCCCGTGCGAATAGGCAACCGGATCGCACCCGTGCATGCTTACTAGTATACGCGTTCGCTCGGACAGGGCACAGCGCGGAGAGTATCAGCCTGCGTGGTTTGCCTTAGCTTACACTCTAAATGGGACAGGACAACTTTGTATCCAGCTAGTGTGCGTTCTTAAGCACTAAGCACGTCTTAGTCGGATGCAAATTTGCCTCTGCCGCGCGTGTCAGGCATGGCTACGACACGAGACGACACAACAGTTTGCGGGTGTGCCTACTCGCTTCACCCGTAGGGCACCATGGTCCGTCGGGTATGGAAACCCGCAACACTGTTGTGTCGTCGCCCTGACACATGGTACAGGTACACTAGACTTTTCAGATGCAAATTTGCATTTATTTCAGATGTGCTTCAGAACGCATCCTCGCCGGATACAAAATTGTCCTGTCCCATTTAGAGTGTACTCGATGACATGCAGACGATTAATTGTCACCTTAATTCAGACGCATCTCACCTCTCTATCCTCCATCTCGCAGTCCAGCCTCGCACTTGCTTCTGTCGAAGATTACGGCAAGCGCTGCGTGTCGCTCCTTTGGAAAAAAATTATCTGTACAAAAGAAAGAAGAGGACGAGATTTGTGTCATGATAGGCTTGGCGGCGTGCCTCGGTGAACGTGAAAGAAAATGATAAGCCGAGCGCCATTGTTCTCCGGAAGACTTACCTTCTCACTCAACGGCGAGATGGGGGTAGAGAAGGGGTAGACTGGTGGTAACCGGGCATCGCAATCACCATCCTAAGTCGGATTCAAGTATTCGGTGGTCAGCGCATATCTAGTCAGTCTGTTTGGTTGGGGATGGGATAACTTTACCTGTTGAACGAGCTGTTGAATATTACAAGCCAGAAGAACGTTGAGAGGCTACACTTCAAAATGATTACCACCGAGATTGGAACAATTTGTGAAAACACCTCTCATAGAAAGGTATCCCTCTGGGAGCTCAAGCAAGAGGTCGCATGAAGTTGGCAGTTTTTAATAGTATCCTGATTCGCCCTCTCCCCGCAGGCTCGGCCGCGAATGCTCTTTCCTACGAGGGAATTCCCGGCGTGGCTGGCGTGGACTACCCCGCCCACAGCCGCGCGCCCCTCACCCGCTTCACGTGCGCCGACTTCCGCCGGAAAGGCTACTTTGCGGACCCGGCCAGTGGCTGTCAGGTATGAGAGAGTGAGAGGGGCTCAGAGGGGGTGGAGCGAGGGGGCCAAAGTCCACGCAGCTATGACTTTGCAGATAAAGTACTCGAGGGTAGTAACAAAACCTTGTAAAATCTTGAAAGCCTTCGAAAACTGTTATGTGGTGCTTTAAAATAAAGAGGCTTTTACTGAAGGAGCTTGTAGGCAAAGCAGAGCGACAAGCGACAGTGTGCGAGGCTGGCACTGCGCCGCGTAGTTAGGCAACCTATCGTGCAGCGCCGTGCTGCGCTGTGCTGCGCCCACGGACTGCAGGAGAGCGAGCGGGGTGGGGCATGGCGACGGGCGGTCAGGAACAACGATGCGACTGGTACTCTTTCTCTTATTGCGTACTACTCTGCCCCCACCGGCTTGCCCTCACCCTGAATCGCCACTACCACCACGGAATATTACCAAGATGCGCAATATACAACTGCTCATTGATTGTACATACATCGAGTGTAGTCTGAACTCTCGTCAGAGCTGGTCACGGTCGGCAGTGTTATTGTTTAATATAAAAAGGCCATCTGACATTGCTTTTGGTTGTGCAGGCCTTCTACGTGTGTCACGGTGACGGCCGCGGCGAGGCCATGCTGTGCCCCAACGGCACCATCTTCAGCCAGGAGGTGCTCGTCTGCGACTGGTGGTTCAACGTGGACTGCAAGTAGAGGACGGGGACCCTACTCCAGCATACTCCAAGCCAGCTCCAGCCTGCTCCAGCCTGCTCCAGCCTACGGACGCGGTGCTCCACGACGGGCAGCCTGCAGCAGCCTATGCAAGAGAGTTGCTTGTCTCGTGGAGCCCAGCAGTGTTACCATACCGCCGCCAAGCTCATTAACTTACTTAGTCGGCTTTCGGGTCGCGACTCGATCAAAACAATGAAGTAGAAAGTGCCAATCTGTCTGCGCGCGTGTTTATCGTTTACCCCAGTCAGATGACAGCGGTGTGTTTGCTCGCAGCACACAAAACGAGGCGGCCCTTTGCCGCGGCATCGTCGACACGTCGCGGGCGCAGATTAGTACTGCGGTGCAAACACGGTGGACAAAAACACGGAATAAAATCATAAAGGACAGCGTGTTTAGTATGAGCATTTTTCATTCTGTTACCCCCCCCCCTTCCCCTAAAATAATTTTTAAAAAACGGACGGCCCCACATCCCTATTCCTATTCTTGCATCAAACAGCGTTCCTTTTTGCCGGCATGCTTACAGCACATCAATCTAGCAAACAAGTAACCTATCTTCTGGGGATAAAAAATCAGTCCATTGTTCAGTCGTTGTATTACGTATGGGAAGGTGCTTATAGTTGTTTCTCAACTTTTTCGAGATTTCTTATAAACGGTAACAGTAAACCGTAGAGAGTTTTTATGGAACGCCCTCTGATTTCGATCGTAGACAACACGAACACGCACGTCAACCAGGTGTGAGGACCAGAAAGCAGAGTGTCGTTAAGGCCGGGATGCCCACGCCCAAGGCCACGGTTTTCAACGAACGCTTATCGTCGTCAGTAAACGGCCACAAAACCGCACAAAACAAGACTGAGATCTGCGTTCTTCAGTTGGTGCTGTTACGTTAAAAAGATCTGAAATATATAGAACAAATTACTAAATTACGGAGTCAAAGCGTCGGTCCAATAGTTGGTGGGTCCCCTCTCAGAACCGTATTCGCCTGAAAGGTAGGCAATTTAAAAATTAACCTACAAGAAGGTAAATGGCGCCACCTCTCAAACAAGCTAAACCTGGACATGCGCCGGGTCTTGCGTCCTTGGAAAACAATTAAGATTGTAGTGGCAGGCCCTTTCGGCGTATCACTATGTTATCAACGCGGATTTCTCTCGATTTCCCCCTCTCCCATTTTACTGTCATGACAAACGGTGCAACGTTTAATACTCTCATGTGTGCGATCACCTTTCCCAAGTAGCCTTGGTCCACATATCACCCTCAAGGTCCACGGAATACTTTTTAAGTTTTATCTCTTTCTGATGATGACAAAGTGGTCGGTGTAGTTGTGGGCGGGGCGAAATAATCTTTGTAATAAAGTAGGTCACGGATTGAGAGGGAAGGTGTGTTCGTGTCACCTCGTCTCGTGTGTAAAAATCAGAATAATACAAGAATACACGCGATTTGTTTTTTAAAAAGGCGAGGGCGTATGGCGCATATCAGGGGACGGTAATTGAGTAAGTAAGTAAGTAAGTGGGGGCCTCTGGAAGCCTTGTCACACACCTCTCGGTTGCCGTTGCCGCAAACTTAGGACTCTTTTATTCTGGGAAATTCCTTTGAAAAGTCGATTCATATTTGAGGTAATTTGCAATGAATGAACATCTCCTTGACTTTCATCGAAATTTACTATAAATCAAAGAAGTTAAAAGAAAAGAAACTGTTCTCTGGGTGCCCCAGAGCCGGCCGGCGCCCAAACGGACCGCTCCTTGTAAGGCGGGCGTCCAGTTCGTTGTTGACGGGGAAGAGTATAGTGCCGGGCAGGGCAGCGTGGAGCTCTACCTGGAACGTGGGCGCGGGGGGGAGGACGGGGTGCGTGCTGGTGGCCGGAGGAGGGCGCGGGAAGGGGGGGGGTAGGATTATTCCACACGAAGCGAGCGTGGCGGCCGAGCGAGGGCGAAGGACGAACGTGTCCTTATGGAGGACGCGAGAGACACACCACTCTTCCCGATGACCTCACAACACTGTTGTTTTGGTCCGACGCGACGAGGCGCAGCCGGGGGCAGCGGGGAGGAGCGCGGCGGGGCGGGTGGAGCGCCGCGCGACGCGCCACGGCGCAGGGAGAGTTCAATGTCCTTCCGGTAGAGAGCACGCCGCGCGGCGCCACGCGGAGACTCTGCGGGGGCCAGGGTCCGTCAGGGTCGCCCCATATAGGTGCGCCAGTTCCAAGGGTAGTTGTCGTGCTTGACAAAATCAAATAAATCATCAACGTGGTGTGAGTAACGTTTTCTTTGCTCGTCTCAGATTCTCTAATTAAAAGCATTGGCGCTCATTGCAAGTTTTAAGGTCACCTACTTTTCCTGCTGTTGAGAAGGCGACACTGTTTACCTTCTATTTTCTACTATTTTTATTTTTTTAATTCGTCGAGTTTGGTCCACGTGCCCTCCCTCCCTGGACGGTTTGAGCGTCTCTCCCCCCCCCCCCCCCCCTCTCTCTCTCTCTGCTGGCGTTATCGTGTAGCGTCAGTCCGCGCTGCGCTGCCGAGTGAATCCAACTAGGACGGCGCACTGATTACCCAAATGAGATTTCGATTCGCCGAGAAGCAGGCGCTAGGCGCCATGCTCGCTTTCGGTTTGAGGGCAGCGCACTGGCTGCGCGCGGCTCGGTCCTACGAGGGTCCCGCGGGGAGGGCCCTCATGGCCGTAATATACAGGGTCACTTACTGCCGCCAATGACCTGTTGTGTGGCTTCCAGCCTCCCTCTCTTTGTTTCTGTCGCCCGAGGAGAATGCGAGCCCTCTCGCCCGCTGCGCTAATCGTTGCACTGATTGGCGGCCCGTTACCCAACTATTTGCAGGGGCACTCGCACGGGGGCCTCGTGCCTCGTGGAGCGCCCGCCCCGAGACCTCTGGCCGCGCCCGGGCCCCGGGCCTCGCCCCTCTCCTGAGATAGTGCGGTGTAGTGGCCCTGCTCCTGCAGTTATCACGACCACTGTCTACGCCGTTGCAATGTGTCCGGAATGTTCTGACGGTGAAGGTGTAAGTATTTGGGGGCCAATTTTTCAGGGAGACCATGTGCGCAGATAGGTCCTACCCCCCGAGACTTATCCGACAAACCAAGCCGACTACTGAATTAATCACTGCGGGAAAAAATAAAAACAAAAAAATTGTGTGAACCAGGCCCTTCATGACGTGTGTCACCGTACTGTCTGTGATGTGGTGGTGCCCGCCGCCCGCCGCGTGAGCGTGCAGGCCAGGCCACGGACCTTCTTGTCGGGCACGAGCGCAGCTGGCGGAGACCCTGCCTAGCCCCGTCATGTCGTGGCGGGGCAGGGCGCGGCGGGGCGCGGCGGGGGCGCAGCGGGGCGCAGCGGGGCGCGGCGGAGGGCGGCGGGAGCGGTGGGGTGCGGCGCGGGGCGGAATAACACTGATACGACGGGGTACGTAATATCGACGGAATTCTCCGGAACGCCATGGCACAGCGACGAAAGTAAACAAACCCGCTCACGATTCACGACCAGCACGTCCTTTGGAAATGTGTCTGATTTCAGCCGGTACTTCCGCATATCCTTCGCTATTGGTGTGCAATAGCTGCTGCTGCTGCTGCTCGACGGGAAACGAGTGCGACACAAACTCTTCTCTTCTTCGACGGCGAGGCGGGGCCCTTGGCTGTGCGACGGCGCGAGCAGGGCCGCGAGGCAGTCGTCTGAAGGGCGCATTGGCATGATTGGCGCCGACATACTCGTGTCAGGGACACGTCGTGCTGAAGGAAATAAAAAGAAGAGTGGAAATGTGAACGCTCCCAGCTCGTGCGAGACGCCGCCAGGGGAACGGCCCCGCCGATGGAATCCGTCTGCCCTCCGCGGTGTGGCTACCTTTTCAAATATTTACTGCTAGGAGACTCTTTAGGATCGTTAAAAAAAGACGGGTGGGTGATAGTTTTGGAGAGATTGTGGAAGTTCGGTCGGACCGACGTCTACAACACATCACTCTTCCATTCGGACTTTCTTCGTGGGAACCAAAGGTGGGACTGCAAGAGTTTGAGCTCTCAAAAGCTGTCACCTCTATTGCGTTCCTTTTTCACGCTAAGACGCAACACTCCCGAACATATATCGAGATTTACGCAGGATTCGCATGTTGAGAAATGTTTCGCTTGCGGCCTTTAACGCCTTAATACCACCTCCGAAAGGCTACAAAGCTACACGTGGTTTCCGAGCGTGTCAAGTGTCTCGTCGGGCGGCAGCCACCCGCGCACCGAGGCTGTTCTTTACGGAGCCCCCCGCCTCGCGGTGCTCGGGGCGTCCTCCACACGAAGGCCGTTGACGCCGTGGGCGCCGTGGGCCGGTGTGGGACTTGGTGGGACTCTGGCCGGGGTCGGGGTGGTGGAGAAGGGCGGACCCACCCGCGCAGTGACGTGCGGGCAGCGCGCCCTTCCTCCGGGGATGACGTGTGGGCGGGGCGGAGGCGAGGCGGGGGCGGGGCGCGGCCGTCCCTGGTGGCCGTGACGTCACAGAGGGGGCGGAGAAAGGGAGCACTGATGCGGCATGCGGCTCTGGCGCTGGCCCTTGCCCTGCCAGCCCTTGTCACAGACACCCTGTCACTCGTCACTCGTCACGAAGGGGACGAGCCGTCGCCCGTGCCCGTCTGTCCGCGTCCGTCCGTCCGTCCGTGCGTCGTCGGAACGGAGCCGAGCCCGGCAGCAGCGGCGGCGTGGTGGCAGCTCGGAGCAGGCCCCGGCAGTCTGAGACCCGAGACCCGACCGGCACCAGGCCTCGCCCGGCGAGCTGCCGCCAGGTCCACCAGCTCGGCTCTGTTGACGTCGGCAAGGATCGCCGTGAAGAAGCCACCTGAATCGGACACACATACAGGACGAGTACTGCGCGTGACGAGCGGCACAATCTGCAGTGAGTGTAGTGAGTCTGAACAAAGAATACGCCTGTAACGAGTGGTAGAGATGCAGCTAACAGTCCTGTCAGTTCGACTGGAGTGAGGCTGGAAGGATGGGGTTATAATATGTGCAATTTGTGGTCGGTTAGAACGATCTCTAAATTATTTGAAACTTCTTGGTCTGGATCTTGGCTGTGTTGTTCTGTTAACAATTTTACTGACAGGGCGGTGTATTGCCGAATTCTGAACCGAAGTAGATGAGAGCTATATTCAGTGTAGCCACAGCCACGCTCACGAGAGCGTGAGAGCGAGAGTGCGGATTTAGGGCGAGGGGGGAAGCGAGGGGCAGGGGGCGGGAGAGCGCGACAGTGCGAGAGCGTAAGAGTCTCTCCTTGGCCCTTGCCCCTCGCCCTACTCCACGCTCTCACGCTGTCGCGCTCCCGTGAGCGTGGATAACTGAATACGGCTGTGAGCTTTTATTATTTATCGGAAATTGTCTGCTTTTACATGAGACCCCTCCTCTATATTGTACACTCCGGCCTGTGCCCTCCCAACTCATCACGTGCAGACGCAAATGCCGTACCATAGGCAGCCGTATCTCTGTTACTCTGCGGGCACGGCGGTCTCAGGCGGCCGGCGACATTTGCTCCGCGGGGGTGGGGGGGGGGGGGGGCTTCCCTGCTGACAGCCCGCTAACGACCAAATCAGCCTCCCGCCCCCTCCGGTCACATAACATTTTCGCCATGGTGAATCATGCGACATCCAAAATCCCGCAAGACTTCGGAAACAGATGTAAGAGGAGGGGAGGGTGGAGGTGCCTTTCCAACTCACTTCCAGTTTTCTTCTTGTTCCTTTCCTTCCGTGTGTGTGCTCTAGTGGAGAACCCTGATGTGCACCCGCCCGCCCCAGATCTAACGCCGCCATGTGAAGCAAGTGTGACGTCGCTCTTGTAAACAGTCGCGGCGCGCCGGTTGTGGTGGTTGTGGTGGTGTGGTGGCGGCGGCGGGTGCCCCGCGCCGCGCTCGCCGCCGTGCCGCGTGCCGGGCGGCGCGGGGCGGGGCGGCGCGTAGAGGTAGAGCGGTAGTAAGAGTATGGGACGACCGGGACGACTCGGGCCCCTCGGTCAGTCGCCGTCGAACCTCGCCCAGGACCGCACGTACTCCGTACACTCCGTCCCACCCGCACCCCCTCTCTCGCCCGCGCACCTCACCCTACTGTTCGGGGCGACCCCGCTGCTGCCGTCGCCGCTGCCGCCGCACCCGTCGCCCGCCTCTCCTGGTGAGTCGCGTGTGCTGCGAGGGAAGTCCTCGAGAGTGAGTTTCCCGGTGACCGGCCGGCCCTCGCAGGTGGTCACTCCGAGGGAAATGTGTTGATATGTTATGCATTTCTGAACGGTTTGCCTTGTTTTGGCGAGAAATGTATATAAGAAAACTATCTGCAGCGATTTGAAGATGGGTCCCGCACGCCCGCCAAGTTGACCGAAAACCGCGAACTGCGCCCCCTCAAAAGATACGCGCACAAATTTAACAAGCGGATGACTGTTATGCGCCGTCGCTTGTCGCTTCTTTGTGTCGCATGCCACGCCACACCACCCGCGCATCGCAAAGAAGATGATTGCAGTTTTTCCCGTGTGACGCACGGGCGACAAAAAATTATCTCGCGGATATGGAAACATTAATTTTAGTGAGGGCCTGCATTTAAAATAATAATTGCTATAGATTGTATTCAGAATCGCGACCGGCCCCCACATGTGCGCCCCCGCCCCGCCCGCCACGCCGGCGGGGGGAATGAACCCCGGGAAGTCCTCTGTGCGTCGCGCCCCCGCTGGCCTCGCTGCGCTGCGCCAGGGTTCGGCCACCGGCCGGCCGCACCTCTCCTGTCGCCCTTTGTTTCCGACGGAATTCTTGCCAATCGACAGCTGGGCTGGGAGCAATATTGCCCAACAATGCGGCCCCGCCGGGCGATTTTTGTGTAAATTGTAACATTTCTTTTGCATTGCGGATATTTTGTATTCCCAGGGAACGCGGGAAGTGGGACAGGAAGGGCTTGCTGACGCCGGTACGAACCGATTCACTCATGGCAGACGCGTGTCGCTCCAATCGATAAATACAAGGGGTTGATCTCTAATCACCGCGACGCGTTGCCGCCCGTCGCTCGCCTTATCTGTCGGTGAACGGCAGGCGGTGTCAGCGACATCCAATGAGCGACTCGGCGCGCGATCGTTAAATCTTATGCTAGGTGGCCCCTATACACCACATCAGTCGGGTGATGGCTATCTCGCCTGCAGAATGTCAATTCAAATCGCGCAGGAGTCACCCCTCTGATTGTGCGCTTTGTAATGCACCATAAGGGGTCAACGTAGTGCGCGCGCCTCTGCAATTGTTTGCTACTAGCCGGGTCGGCTCTGCTCACCTCGAGAACGGGGGATCGGGGGTGAATCTGTCTCTCCAGTTAGAATGACCAATGGTGCGGGAGACAAGTGAAATAGACCGGATCCTCAAAGTGGGCAGACCGGGGCAGGTCCTGTTTTAAGCCGTGTAGCGTAGCAATGAGGTAATCGGGGAGCTCTTGATCGGGTACAGTACGTCGCGGCTGGGAGTGGCGGCTTACATCTCAAGTGAAATCACTTCTTCCAAAGCCCACCTCTTCCTAGCTTGGTATCAAACGGGCAGCGAATTGTAACACACACCTCGGCGTGACAGCAGTTCTCCTTGTCGAAAAATACGCGTCCGGTTTAGATTGTATAGAGACGTTGGTGCTCGAGCATACTGCTGTGGACTTCTTCTGGCAAGCAGCATTAGTATTTTCTGAGGCCGTTACCAATTTAGTTTCTGAATGGGCATCGATCCCGCGGGACAGGGGACTTGCAGAACTCTCATCCTGGCTGCTTGGATCAAGGGGGCGCGCTGGCGGGGGGCGGCCTTCTGCCAGGAAATGTGCTGTGCACGTTGTGAAATCAAATTTTGAAAAAATACTCATTGCGAAGCGAGAATGGAATCGGACATGCAGGCGTAGAAAAACCAATGTACACGTCGTTCTCCGCGCCGCGCCGTGGCCCCGAGCCGCTAAGCTGCTCGCACGCGCGCCGAGCCGGTGCCCCACGTGGCGACCGAGAGTCTCGTAACGCGGCAGTCAGTGGCGGCCGCCGCCCGCCCGCGCGCACCCTACCCGCGCAGCAGCTGCGCTTGGACCGGCGCCTGCCACCACCGCCCCGCGCCCCGGCCCCGCCCCGGCGGCGGCAGACAGGTCGCTCTTTGCACTCTCGCCGGGCCGCGAGTGCAAGCGCCCGTGTCGTTTAATCGAGCCACTCCATGATGGGCTGGCACGACGACGATGCACAAAACATCGGGACCGCGGATATTTGGTTGCCATCGGACCCGCCTGCTCTCATCAGGCGCGTGCAGGCGTGTAACCGCCTCCCGCCGTCCCTGCCCTTGAGGCCTATACCCTCCTTGGGGGAGAGAGCAGAGAGGTCGTTGCGGAGGGTGAAAGCGCACACGCATCGATGCTTCCACCCACCCGACCCACCCTCTCACGTTGACGCCACGGCGGGGGCGGGCTGGGTTTAAGCTGTCATCCACCATGTGAAAATATATATC